TTATACTCTATTCACTTATGAACGAGTATAAAACATTTATTACCTAAACTCCATTCAAATAATAAGACCAGACAACATAGTAGGGGCGGGCATCTTGTTTATTCATGCCTGATAGTTTGACAACTGAAAAGTATGCATTATACAAGTGGTCATATACAAATTATAAACGGCATTGTTTGACGACTCAAGTCAATGAAGCTATCACTTATTGTGTTCCAAGGCTGGACGAGCTGATGGAGAAATAGGACTAGTGAAAAAAACAAAAAACTAAGATTTGTGTTAACGATGAGATGCCTTCGACTGGAAATTCATTCATGACTCACACCTTAAGAGCATGTCCATGAGAAAACCAGGCAAAACCAGGCAGTGGGTGCTACATGGGGGTCGGCCGATTGTTCTGAAACTTGGCACACTTTTTGCATTTACTAAGTTATTTAATATTCTAGATTTTTTTTGAGATCGGTTTAAAGGGGGGGAAGTTAGGTCCCCCCCTCGAAAATGACCATTTTAAGCACAAAAATTGCTCAAATTAACCTCAACTTTGCAGAGGCATAAAAGTGTAACTATTGTTCACAACAACCTCAAACTTCTCTGACATACAAGATATACATCTCAGTTACCGATATCGGGCATAGAGATGGAAACATCTGTCAATCCGTTGCCATAGCAACCACATGACTGAACACAAAAATTTCCAATTTTGAATTTACTGAAAATATATGTAGTTTTGAAGCCAATATCTCGAAAGTGCATATCGATTTTTATTAAAATGATTGTTTCCCAATAAGATCTATGTCCTAAGCTATCAAAACATGAAAAACATCGGTGGGCAATCATTAATCTTAAAAGATATGATGCATTTAGTTCACCCTATTTCGAAAATATCACAAAATTCAATGGAATTAACACAGACAAAAAAAGTGTTAAACCCCTTTAAACAAACTTTAATTGACTTTTTTCAAACTATCAGAATCTAATTTTGTGTTTTGGTGGCCTACTACACCCTAATAGTTACTATTAAACACTGACTAGTAGTAATTGTTTCACAGACGGATGGAAATGACTCTATTACCAATACTCCATTTAACAGTTCCCAGTGTCATCTTGTAGCCACACCTTTGCATCAATAGACCAATCCCTCATTCGCTTGGGTGAACACAAAACAATGGCTTCATTTCGAGGCTGGAGTTTTATCTTTTGTCGAAAACTCCAGCCTCGAAATGAAGGCATTGTTTCGTGTTCATCCAAGCGAACGAGGGATTGGTCTATTATTAGTTAAACTTTGAAGTGAAACCACTCGCTTGTGCTCATGGTTCCACTTGAGTTTTGAGCATTTTTGACGTCAATTTCATTGTCAATAAGAGTACAGACAATGGAAAACCGCGTACGAATTGATAAATAGAGTCAAAACATAAGTTGCAATTATTTTGGTCTTGGCAGTAAAATAATGCAACTTAGACATGACCCATTGTGGCTTGTGAAGAGAAAAGAGACGTTTATGCAAGATAATTTGCACTCGAGATGTTGTTATCACTTTATGCACAAACTCTATTCACAATGTCCCAGCGTATGTAAACCTGTTGTTGCAAATT